TTTTATATTTGTCTCTATTTTTATTCATTTTGACTTCAAAATGGCTTAGGGCGTCCGGAGAACACTCCCATATGAGAAGGTCTTCGTCTCGCTGAAGTGTGTAAATAGGGTTTTGGTCTCATTTAGGGTCTTCAGGACAAAACGCCAGTGTTTTTAGCTGTCAAATTATCTTAAAGGGTGCACTTGAAGAAATAATAATAAAACGCTCCCTCTGAGGAGGGTAAACGACTTTTGGTTCAAGTACTAGTTATTGGGAGATTAAAAAAAAAACGAGGGTTCGAGAAATCGGGATTCTACTGTACTGTGAAACATCAGGTCCCAAAGGTATAAAAAACGTTTTCGGGAACGGTAAGACCTAAATGACGGGCTCTGTTTAGAAACAAAGGACGCTGTAGCAATTACAGAGGGATGAAGAAGAAAAAGAAAAGATTTTAAATTACCGTTGATTACGTTGATCTTGTCAGTTAGTGATAAATGTTACGCCTTTCCGTTTGCATGCCATGAAAGTACAAATATAAAAGAAAGAAATCGTGAACAAGCCGGCGATGAAAACACATGTATGGGGACAAAACAATCTCTTTGTGACAAGTCCAATTTATTCCATAACAGCTACCTATAAGCTATTACAAATATAATTAATGTATAAAACGCTAAATGACAATTCTAATACAATTAAATGTATATAACTTTGAACATAGTTAACTATTCTTTGAATGACAATTCAATTACCATGCTCTCAAACATGATTTCGAACAATGAAACTCCCCAAACACCAAGATCTATCAAGAGAGAAGACTGTCAAGAGCACATGCCTGTTGTGGATGGTATTAAATTGTGTAGTGTGATTCTTCTCCGTGGTAGTAGCCGTTGATGAACGTCGACAGGAGCACCTTTAGAAGCAGTCAAATGTCTTGGGATAATGTTTTGAGTATGTTCGCAATCTCAGTAGCGATTTTCTGCGAGAAGGACAAGCTGGAATTTTTGTTGCTAGAGAAGCAGTAGTTTTATCAGCTTCTTCGCTCTGTTGTACGCAAGTGTCCTCCGTTCTTTGAGTTGCGGTTATGTCGCTTGCTGTCTTGACAAAGTGATGGCCGATCTCTC